GTTCTCTATTTAATAAACACAATGTGGGAACGCAATTGTATGTTTTTTTTTATATTGTGGTCATTCGGGAGACTGTCAAGCGGGGCTCCGACATTCGAAATAATTTTCGGATACGTGTTTTTTTTTCCATTATTATCTCTGGGGCTTACTTGTAATGTATATGAGAAAACTTTTGTATCTGTCATTAATATTCAAACATTGAGGGGTGCCGAACCCATTCTTAAAGCAAGAAAACAGGGGGGGGGGGGGGGGGGGGGAGTGAAATAAAACTAAGAGCTCCGACCCAAATTATGGAAATAGTTGTGTTCGTTCAGCTGAAGTTTTGACTTTTAATAAAAGAATTGTTTTCAAAATTTTTAAGGTGTTTAAACATAATTAATATATAGTTTTTTCTCAAATTTAACTTCAATATGTTTACACTCACAAATAGTTCTAAATCTTTAAAAACACACGTCACTAAATATTTTTCACTGTACGGTCACTTGTCGGTAAACAACTTTCGACTGTATTATCGCTTGGATATGTAATGACGATTGGGTGCAGAGTCATGATTTTGGCTAGAGTATGCATGAAAAAAAAGTTACAAAACAGTACAACATAAGAATGAATTATAAATATATACTGAAAATGGTTCAACTCAACAAGGCATAAAAAACCAACGATCAAAAAGATAAAGTAACGATTGGCAGTTACTGAAACTAGTCTTACACCAATTATAACTTATAAAACTCACGTGTCCCCAGACTTTATTATCACTCAGTAATTATCAAATTATTCTGAAAATTTATATGTCAAAAATAGTCTAGATCGAAAAGATATTTAGTACTTGTTTTTTTGCAGCTTTAACATTTCACATACAGTCTAAAATAGGGCCATGTTAGCCTATGTCATCACTTGACGTCCGTCGTCGTAAATTATTTTAAAATTCTTCTCCTCTGAAATGACTGTTCCAAATACATCCAACTTTAACTGGATGTTCTTTATAGTTGTGTCTAGTTTATACATTCTATCCGGGGATTTCATACATAAAAGAATTGCCACCATTGCCAAAAATTAAACATAAAAGGGGGGGAGGGGGTTTGCTTATATCTCAAAACCTAAGCACTGCCATGAAATAAATAAAATATTTACTCATATTTGAATCGCCGTGGATTCGATTCTCAGCAAGTTGAAACCAAAGAAGAAAGTTGGTATTTGCTGTTTCTCCTATTAGTATGCAGCATGTGGGGGTATTAGTAAAGATTGGTAGGTCCATATATGTCGGCCTAGTAAATTTCGGGGTCAAGATTGATATCTCATAATTATAGGTTCTAACCTGAACATGCACACCTCATGTTTTATCAAACATGAATAAAACTGAATCCTATCAGTTCCTTTTGTGGTATTCAAAATTCTTTGCGTGTATTATATCTGGAACACACATTCTAGGAGTTGCGAGGTGGTAAATTGCATGTGGCTTAATTACAATCAATTATAGTTCGAGTTCAAGTTCGAGATGATCTTCAAGTTATATTTCGAGTTACTTTCCAAGTTAAACTTCGAGTTCGAGTCAAAATTCCAGTATCAGCAACATTCGAGTCACCTTAAATTATGTTTGAATTCTTTACAAATTGTTGTTACAAATTAGCAAATACGTGATTGCAAGAATATATGGCCATATTAAATACATTTTATTGTTACATATGTAAATAGTTCTATCATGCCCACGGGGTACAACCGCCGTACGATTGATTCCGGAAGTTAATCGCTGCATCGCGAGGTTGGCAGATAGACCATCCTGAAATTTTCACCGAAGACTAATTGACGAACTGTTCAGTTAAGTATTAAATTTTTATAAAAAACATAGTTTACTGACAGCATTCTATATTACTAGAAGATGCTCGCGAAATCGCAGTACAATTAGGCAAGAGTTGAAACAAAACAAAAATCAATTTTCGCGGGTAGTACGCCGACTGAGCATACACGAAAGCGTATAAGACACGGATTGATAAAGGTTCGAATTTTGAAATTTACTAAATAAAATTGTCGTTTTCTGTAGAAAAAAGATTGTTTCAAAGAAAAATAAGTACTACAAATCATTACATGTATACGTGATATCACAAATATTTCCGACTTTGTATGGTTTCAGAGGAGTTACTGCTCAATGAAATCGGTCTCTTCCTTGAGTAGTATAGATTTATATTACAGTGAAATCGGTCTCTTCCTTGAGTAGTATAGATTTATATTACAATGAAATCGGTCTCTTCCTTGAGTAGTATAGATTTATATTACAGGAACACAATGTGACTTCTTTAAATATTACTTGTAATGATCGCGAAACAAATATAACAAATAATATTTCACTCGAGTTTTTTTTGGCATATATTTATTCATATGCTGTATAATTTTATTCTTTTAATGTGCATTTACATTTAATTTCGGTTTTTATAACTAATAATACAAATTAAAAAAATATTATTTGCCATTATCTTCACTGAATTCACAAAGTCAGGAAATAGCCGATATTTTTCGTGTATCTTTCACGTTTTATTCCTGATCATATGACAGTTTATTATAAAATCGGTTGCTGGTACGCGTAGCCTATGAAGGCCAATTTGGCTACGCAAAAATAAATCGTGTGTCATGTGAAAATTTCCAACTAATCTAGGACTTGCATGAATTATTCTTTAATAAATAGGAAACAATTTTATTAAGTCTACCTCGTTGGAGGAAACATTTAAAATTGGGATTTCTTGTACTTGGAGTCTTTTTTTTCTCTCAGTCGTTTACTAGCATATTTTTCTCCAACGACAAAGAGTGCGATATCCGGGGATTCCCGTTCTAAAAATAAATAGCGATTGTCTAACGATCGAAAAATCTAACGATTCGTCTACGTATGCTTTATGAAACGCACGTAAACGTAATCGTCATGTAGTCGTTAGTCGCACGCTAATATTAACGTTAGTCGTTATTAGCGATTGTTTTATGAAACGGCAGCCTGATGTCTAAGCAGGGAAGGCGTCTCCTACTATGCATGCATTATCCGTCATTCGATTTCACTCAGTCAAAATGTTAATATCGAAAATTTGACACAAATTAACAGATCAGACTTCTGTTTCCCTAAATCGAAAATCATGTCGCTAGTGAGTTGTGACCGACAACTCGTATCCGTCAAGAAATTTGTGATGGTGACGGGCAAATCATGTAGTCTCGATTTCAGTCGTTTTTTCTCATAACTCTGTTTGAGTATTTATTTTCAGTCAGAATCAAACCCCTGTTAATGAAGTCGTAGAGTGAAAACATAGACCAATGTGATGTATTAATTGAGATCTGTTTACGCATTACGATGGGACAGATCGTATGTTACTGCTGATAAACCATTTTAAGTCGACCATTTGAAAGTTGAAATCACCACGCTTGTCGAAAATACTTTATTAACGTTATCCATCTTTTTGCTCACACTTTGTTGTCAATATAATGAAAGTATATGCGACTGTCATACAAGTGAGATGTTTACATAGCTATAAAACAAGGTTTAATCAATAATTTTCTACATACGAAAATGTCTGTACCAAGTGAGGAATATGACAGTTTTTTTGTTTTGTATTTTTGTTATTTTATTTTTTTCAATATCGAGGAACAGACGTTTTAGTAGCGATTGTATCTTTTATTTCAAGTTCCTTGTGATATATAAGATGCAAGAACTCATTTTAATGTTGTTTCTTGAGTGACAGAAAATCATTAATATATGTGTGTGTGAAATACAGAACTTTGCAAGATACCTTTTCTTTTTATATTTGAGACTGTTCTGTGTGAATTATATTGTATAAAGGTACAAAAACAATTCGGCCACTTCAGATGCACAGTTACAATCCATTTAAACATCAACTGTCGGTGGAAATATCAGTCATTAAAAACCAAAATGTCGATCAAAACGTTCAGCATTTATATTTTTAAGAAATTGCCTTCGGTGTATTTGTTGTTGGAATCAGTGTAGTTCTTCAAAAAGAAAGATTATTTATGACCTAAAGGAAGGAAATTGTAATACAATTCCTATTTTTACAGCAAAAGCTCAGTTTTATTGGACGATGTAGTCGACCGAGCATGAGGAATAGTAGCGCAGAGCTTAGAACAATAAATAATAGAGATTGTGATCGAAGATGTTAGAGTAGATGTTTGCAATTTAAAGAATCCAAACTAAGTGTCAACAACTTGTTGAATATACCTCATCGTTTTGTTTTAGAAGGCCATCTCTTCGTGTAGAAAGAATGGAAATATGACCTTTAGAGCAATGTTTAGTAGAAGATCTAGACGACCCGGCTTTATATTGTTCTTTATAAGGATAATTTGGAAGTTAAGGTTTCCAGTATTCAAACAGAATTTTTCATCATCCTTTTCATGTTGATACAAAGGGAGAGTACGTCGGATTTATTTATGATTTTCTAAAATCTCCTATTACTCGAATAATGTTAGATATTTAGAGTTACTGTGAATTTCAAGTGCTTAAATTAAACATTCCTAATGATACTGTTAGCGTATACAATGTTTTGGGGGATTTGTCTGTTGTCAACATCTTTGCCATGAAAAGAGGATAAAGAAACCTCTGGCTTCTTGAGTTGTTTAAAAACTCGCACGCTCCTTATTCACCGTAGTTTTCTAATGCTCATCTGAATGCATAAAAAAACCAAATCAAAGTGCTCTCTTATTCCTCTTTCTCCTCCTACGTTCATTTAGAAGACCGTTGTCGATTTGAGATTAAAACAAAACAAATGAAAGTCCGTCCCATGTCAGTCAATTTGTGTCCATATAAAGAAATTTGTAGTGATTTTCGTTGCATCATTTTGAAATAGACAGTAGCTATAACACTACATATCGAAATCAAAAGTAAAAAGGCAATCAACATTTCTCTACACAGACAAGTTTGCCAATTCTCATTATACTACATGTAATTATTGGTTGAGTGCTGATCAAGTAACCGTGAGAGATTATGTTTGTATATAAATCTTTTCAATCCTTTACAGTACTAATGACATTCATATACGTATGGGAAGCATTCGAAGGTAGTGTTGGACATTGTTCACTGCTTCTTGACAATGGAACATACGTCAGCTGGTGGCCAAAAGGAAATGCAAGCGGATTTAAAAAGAAGAAAAAGGTAGGTTTACAAAACCTCTATCTTTCTTCTTGTTAGTTAAATCCAAGTCAAAATTCGTTTCACCCCAACAGATATGTATTTGCAAGATTGATTTCCTCATTATCTTCTATGCTTGACCTTGATTAAATGTTGATATGTATGACAATATTTGTAAACCTGCGTTGATACACATGGTACACTAGGAGCAAGATTTCAGTCTGATACGGTCATTTTGATCTGATCAAGTCTTAATCGACTGAATTTACCACTAAGGAAAAACGTTAAGACTTTTTCAGACTTTCAGACACTGTTGCAATATATCGTGTTCAGTCCGTTCATTCATGTCAAGATAAACAAGACAGATTGTTCTAGCGTTCGATTAAGACTTGATCAGATCACGTTCAGATTAAATCAGACCAAAGGTAAAAATTTTGTTTAGTTTTTGTAAGATCGTGTTCAGTCGTGTTAAGATTTTAAATATTTTAAATAAAACGGGCGACACTTTCTCTGTGTTTATCTGGGGTTGCTCCCCCTTTATGAATAAAAACGGCAAATCTTGGAGGATATTCTTTTGTGTTCTTTTAATTTTATACTGTATATCTATTTCATTAAATAACGTATGCAAACTTACAATTCATTGCTTTTTTTCGATAGAATTTTTAACATTTAATTGGTTATATAAGAAAAGAATAATTGTTATAACCGGAAAAGGTGTTGAACATAAAAACTTTGCAGTCGTGCTTTCTGACATAAAATAATCCTGTATTTATTCATCCCGCCTGTAAAGATAAGTAATATATCTCATAAATATTCTTATACAAATTTTGTCTGTAATGTAAAATAATTGTTCTTAGCCGTATAAAATTTGTCAAGAAAAAATATATTCTGACTATCTGATTTACTTTATTTTTTTTTTAAATTTTTGATAGATGACAGATGCTTGGTGAAAGTTATTTACATTTAAATAAACGGATTATCTGAGCAGTCAACCGAAACGGATTGTCACAAACTATCTAAATAATATCCCATGCAACGCTGTGGCTGTTTTATCAATGGAAGTAAAATGAAATATATTTCCATGTTTTATCACATATAAGGATAAACCGGGTAAATTATAACATTTATAATAAAGCATTATTTTTTCAAAATAAATGCAACAAGAATACAAGCATATTTTAAGAATTTAGTTAACGGTTTATATTTACCATTAGGTACCTATAAAGACCGATTTTGGTACTTCTCTGACAATTTTTACCATCAACTTAAGTTATAAAATAACGTAACAAAATGACTGTACTTATAGATAAGACCGTTGGTTTTCCTGTTTGAGTTGTTTTACACTAGTCATGCTGGTGCTCTTTATAGCTTGTTGTTCGGTGTGAACCAAGGCTCTGCGTTGAAGGCCGTATTTGTGACCTATAATTAAGTAAAAGATTGAAAGAAATACATTGATTGTATTTTATCGATCGTAAAATTAATGTCCAGTGTCAAGTATTACACATCGATGACCACTTAGATGTTCAACTGATTCAACAGAAAATTAAAGTCAAACTAGGTTCAAATGCAGTTCATTACGCTACAATTGTAACCATTATTTATATTGTTTAAACATTCAGTCGAGGAAAAGACACAGTTGACATTGATATGCATTGATTTGTTGTAGTCTGATACGCCGAGCGTGTGTCGACCAAAGGTCATGTTTGTCAGAGGACAATTGTTGTGAATCGGAGCCGAATTGACCTATGTTCAAACGTTACTCATATATAATCCGTGCTTGTTGAAAAGAAGTACATATCATTCTCGAATGATTATGTTGGGTTGTTGAACAGAATGTAGGACAGATAGTCACAGGACAAAAAAATCACAGACAAAACGTCACAATTCAGTTTCTACGACTATTTTCTTTGAATACGCAAAATACTTATTTAAAAAAAAAAACAAACATTTTTGTATTTGTCTCGAACTTTTGTATACATAAACCAACTTTGTAAACAAAATTTACTAAATGATCAAATAATTGTTTAAACAACAGACTGTCAAAGTGTCTTCGTACCTAAGCGGCTTCACGGTGCTAAGAAATGTCATTTGCATGATTGAAATTTAATAAAATCTTCATTTATCAACTTGAAGGCTTATGAACAATTTCTTAAACTGTAAAAAGAATATATGTAAAAAAAGTAATTATTTCAAGATCTTTCTCTTATATACTCAAATAATTGTCAACAAATTATTTGTCACTTTTTGTCCTGTGACTTTTTGTCCTATCAAAAATTTGTGAATTTCTGTCCGCTTACCGTTAAGAATAGGACCTCCCTTACTCAGGGAGATGAAGCTGCCGAGACTGCCAATGCTAATTGTTAGATAGAATAATAAGTATATCAGTCATTCTCAATTTTATATTTATTGCTTATAAAAACTGTTTTAAATGTTGAATTTAAGGAATGTTCTGATTTCAAAAAACTAAATCTTTCTCTTTTGATTTCGATTGATAGCATCCTGCATATCATGTAATATTGTTTGCTGAACATTCAACGATCATAGCCAAGCATGTGCACTTCAAAATGCAATCAATAAAAACAAAATTAACCTGTTTTGAATCATGTACATTGGAAATCATGAATCGTGTGTCGTGTTCGACCTATAATCCTTTAATCTATAAAATAGTCGTAAATGCCTATCAATATAATAATTAGTTTGCATCTACGTAACTCGATATGCGTGTTTTTGCCACTTTGCTTAGAAAGATTATCATATATCTTAATTTTATTTCAATAAAATTTCCTTATTCAATTTGATATTTGTCTACCAAAAAAAAAAACATTTATTGTTACTTTTTTGCCACCGAAGTTCTTGTTAGATACAAGTATGTCTTTTATGATCTCTCAGGTAAATATCAAAAATGAATCCAGAGTTTTGACGGTTGTGACTTAAGGATTAGTTACTGTAAGGAAAACTCGTTTTCCTGGATAGTAGTACACACTTGTATTTTATCCTTAGACTGTCTTTGAATCATTTAGTTTTAAGTAGAATTCTTCGTCTTTTGCAAATAGATAAAGAATGAAATGAAAATTTGCTTTCGATTGCATTCAGGCAGAGAGAAACACATTTTTTTGTTTTATTTCCAATAATTGCAGAAGATTTTTAGTACGGATATAAAACTATTCTTAATCTTTTCCAATTTGCAAATATAATTTGGTGGTGTTTTTATTTTCTGCACATGGTAGATGAAACTTGTATGATCTAACTTTTTTCAGAGGTATGTCACATCTTGAAAATATGACGTTCCCGGGAATCACACGTCGCTATATAGAATTCTTCTAAAATTCAGAAACTTGCAGTATGCTCATATTTTATTCTTTTCTGTTTAAAAAGAAAGTGTAAAAATAAGAAGCTGAAAACTGGAAAAAGGGGAGGGTTGTTACACGACACGTTCTTTGCAATTTAATGTTGAACGAATAGTAACTATCTAACATTTTTTTTTCAAATATCGAATACATAATCAAACTTATCCACGTTTGCAGAAATTTTTTTATTGACAGGTTTCTGAAGGCATTTGATTGGACATCCGTTAAATGTAGGCGTGACAATCTATTACATTTATCCAATCAGCTGTCTTCCAAAACAAACTTGTGTGCGATGATGCTTGAACACTGTCCACATAGTTTATTTTTTATAATAAATTGATCATTAAAAGGAAGATGTTGATACTGTGGGCCAGGGACTTTCTATACTAACACAAAAGTCCCTGTGTGGGCTTGTCAGAAAAAAAATAGACACGCTTATATATATATATATATATGTTTAAAAATATCAGTTTTTCGACCTGTTAGTCAAATGCGTTTTGTTAAAATATACTTTTTCACTTTTTTGGTCTTTTGGGAAATGTTGTTTGAGCTGTAATTAGACCCCTCTACCAAGAAATTTGTTTTGCATGCACACGTATGAAAAATTGCGGTTTTTATCCAACGCAATCATAGGTTTAAACGTTGTTTTCAATTTAGACTTGTTTATATTGTTTCGTTTGGGCTTGTACTATATTTGCCGTCGGGTTTATATGATCCGTTCAATCTATTTCGACTCTTCAAAATTCAAGAGATTATCCTAAATTGAGGTAAATTAGAATGGCCTTCCAAATACCGGTTCGATTCCTAACATCACTGAAGAGACATTAATTGTCGAAATCGGATATGGTGTACAAATTTTTGCACCTCATATTTGCGGTATACCATCTTTTCCTCAAGTTTATTGTTTTCTGTTTGGTATTAAATTAATAATTTATAAGATCCATTTTGTTACATCTTGTAATACGTTTATTTGGCAATCGCCAATGGCTGTCAGCAGGGTTTAAGAACATCAGTTGTTCGACCTGTTAGTCAAATGTGTTTTGTTAAAATATACTTTTTCACTTTTTTGGTCTTTTGGAAAATGTTGTTTGTGCTGTATTTAGACCCCTCTACCAAGAAATTTGTTTTGCATGCACACGTATAAAAATTGCGGTTTTATCCAACGCAATCATAGGTTTGAACGTTTTTTCAATTTAGACTTGTTTATATTGTTTCGTTTGGGCTTGTATTATATTTGCCTTCGGGTTTATATGATCCGTTCATCCTATTTTGACTCTTCAAAATTCAAAAGTCTATCCTAAATTGAGGTAAATTATATGGCCTTCCAAATACCGTTTCGATTCCTAACATCACTGAAGAGACATTTGTTGTCGAAATCCGGATATAGTGTACAAATATTTGCACCTCATATTTGCGGTATACCATCTTTTCCGCAAGTTTATTGTTTTCTGTTTAGTATTAAATTAATTATTTTTAAGATCCATTTTGTTACATCTTCTGATACGTTTATTTGGCAATCGCCAATGGCAGTCAGCAGGGTTTAAGAACATCAGTTGTTCGACCTGTTAGTCAAATGCATTTTGTTAAAATATACTTTTGCACATTTTTGGTTTTTTGGAAAATGTTGTTTGTGCTGTATTTAGACCCCTCTACCAAACAATTTGTTTTGCATGCACA